AGCATCGTCGACAGCTTCGACAGCTGTCGCGCGACCGCTTTACCGCGCAGGTCCGTGCGAGCCTGATTCGCACTTGTAAAATATCGGTGCGTTCCGAAAGCCACCGAGAAGGCACTTCGGTATCTCTGTCCGCGAGCATTAGTTACGATCGAGCGAATTTTTATTATAACTCGCGAACGACGTTCGTCCACCGGTGAGAAACGCGCGATCGCTGTAAGGGCTTCAAATGCGACCTGAGCGTTTAAAATAGTCGCCCGTGCGAAGCGTGCGCGTGCCCCGCGCGTGACTGTCAAGCTCCCCTTTACGCCGAGGCTTTAACCTAACATTGGAATGATTTATGAGCTTTGGTGCTCGGAGACCCGCGGTGCGTGCTGAGGTAAATTGTTGCGCTCATTCCCCCCCGTCGTCGACCGGCGGCTTATCCTCGATTGAAATCCGCAGCCCGCGAAAATGTTGGGGTCATGAGAATTGCCGCGTCTCCCCCAGTGGTGTTCATCTCGTCTCTATGGCTAAGGGAAAAATAAGAGGTTCCGACTCCAACAATAAGGTGCGTATTGCACGCCCGCGACTTGCCCGTGCGACTTTGGCATCTTTGCGAATTGACGTCTCCTGTTACCAGATAACAGCGTCGAATGCGGCATTCAAAAATGGAGAGACGTATACGTCGGAATTTGAGATCAACGAGACGCCACCCAGCGCCAGAACCCTGCTCACCAAGGGCTACACGCAGGATGAAATCAATTCGTTTTCAGGTAAATCCTCGCTTCGCCGCGACACGCGCATTCTTTGTACGTGTACCGATGTTGCATATTGCGCGTTGGCTTGTAGGAGCAACTGTGTCGACGCGCGGACGTTTTATGACGGAGCAAGAGAAGCTGCGCTGTCCAAATGAGAGGCCGTTGTATCTTTACATACAGGGACACACGAAACACAACGTCGATTGTACGTATCGTATCGTTGTTTTGGCAGTTGAATTTTTAACCGATGTAGGAAACCGACGATCGACACGACTGGCGAATTCTGATTAAAGAAACCCTGGCTGGGATAACAGTTTTCGCCGTGAATTGGTTTAATTAGAATTGGCCAGTCATGGCCGACCATTGGCTTCCTACATTGATCAATTATTTACTGGCGTCAATAAGTTTTGTTTGAATTTTTACCCTGATTTGCATATCTGATAGATATTTCATTTAACAGTGGCCATACAAAAGATCAATGAAATTATTAAGACGGAACATCAGAGTTCTCTGAACAGGCCGAGCAGGTTTACGAATGCTCCGCCGCCTCTTATGAGTTTGCATTCTGGAGTAACGACTGTGGTAAGTAGCATCTTTCACTCGCATCTCGTTTGGAGTTACCAAGTTTCCTTGGTGTATTACTGACGTGTGCAATTTATCAGGAGAAGATTTGCGTTGGTATCGAGAATGCGCCACAAGGCTTCGATTTGCGCGGGCGAATACTAGGCGTTGGCGATGCGAATTTATTTTATATCAGAGGCGAAACCGGGGCGAATGTCACCCTGCGAGGCAGAGGATCTCAGTTTATCGATCAGATTTTGATGGCGGAATCTCCAGAACCACTTCATTTGTACATAGAGTAAGAACGCCTGAGATTTCGTGGCACATGTAGCTATTATAATGAGACAAGATGAAACATACAATTGATTTCTTTAGGCATCCGAAGCCAGAGGCGCTGCAAAATGCAAAGCAACTGGCTATAAACTTAATTCAAACGATCCAGTCCGAGTTACAGACCTACATTCAGCAGCAGCCACCACCAGTACAACCTCAGCAAGTTATAGAGCAATCGCAAATACCGCAGAGTACGTACTTACTGTTCTTAATTTGCAAGCTGGCCACTTATTCAGACGTAAGTTGCATATGATTCCTTTCCATTTGCAGCTCAATTTCAAACCATGAATATCGGTAGCTTGGGCCAACCAAACGTAGTCGCGATACAGCATCAAGGTAGAATATACAAATCGTATTGTTAATATAATTTCATTTTCAAACTGACATCTTTTAATACATCTTACGTCTTGTGTAACAGATATTATACAGCATCCGCAAAGTAACGTCGTGACGTTGCCCGCAACAATTCTTACGGCTACCGTAGCTGGTACCCCAGGACCTGGTGTGTCAGTTCCTCCTCCAGGAGTACATATACCGTCTCATACTGGACCATTAGTTCCACCGCCACAAGCTCAGGTAACTGAACTCAAATTAAGTGGCTAACGCGGATCCTTTAGAAACTACAAAGCCGTTTGAAAAAAAGACTGGCACATTGTAATGTAAATTTCATTGTTATTGAAGGAAATACAAACTTTTATGCCACCACCGCCTGTTGGACAAGTACAATTAATCGGTCCTCCGTCAACGGTTAGCCAAGTTCAATATCAGATACATCCTGGCCAGCCGTTACAAATCCAGGGAATTCAACCGGGATCGCAGTCCTCGCCGCAGCCCGTAGCGCAAATGTACGTCATGAGTCAACCGCCGCCGCAGAATCCCGCGCAGCAGAGCTTCATAACGAGCAGCAACGCGCCGGTGAGCGGGGCGGTGTCGTATGTATATACGCAGCCGAACGTGCAGAGGCCCGCTACGCCGTCCCAAGGGATTATCGAAACCGTTAATGTCAATTTGCAACAACCCCCTCCGGCGGCGCCGCTCAATATAACGCAGCAGCCGCCGCCGCCGTTGTTGCACCTGCATTTTCCGCCGCCGAACTTCCCACCGAATCAGCCGCCTCCTCCCGTCCCGCAGACCTATCAGATACAGTATCAACAGGTGCAAGCATCCGCGTCCCAGCCGCAGACGCAGTTCGTCTTGCAGCCCGGCGAGCATATCGTTCCACCTCAGTTGCAGCAGAATCACGAACAGTCTCAAGCTGTCGCTCAGCACATAATACCTCCGCAATTCGACGGTCACGCACCGCCGTTCCATTTGCAAGTACCTCCGCCACCGTCCGCGCAGACTTTCCTGGTACCTAACGCTCAGTCCCCTCAACATCATCCGCAACCGCCGCTACCTCCCGGCGGTGAGATGCAGCATCAGCAGGAGGGCCCGGTGGAGCAGGGGCCGCTGCCGCAGCCGGTGCCCCCTCCGCAAATAGTGCCGCCGCCGTCAATCGGCCAGATGCCGAATTCCATGAATATTCTTACCAGCGTGCCACCTCCGAGCCAACCGCCTCCACCGCAAAATGCCCCGTGGCTGTACCAGGCTCAGCAGCCACAGCAGATGCCGCAACCGCAAGGGCAATTGCAGGTAATGACACTTGACATTTTGGCGTCGTTCTTCGTTTTCCGTTATGCGTGCGAAAAATATGTGATAGCCTTCGCTATTATTTATAGATGCAGATGCCGCCGCAGAATATGCCTCTTCATAACGTACCCCCACCGCAAGTTCAAGCTCAAATACAGTATCACCCTCAACACATACAATATCAAAACGGTCATATACCGACGCAGGTGCATTACACGATGCACCCGCCGCATCAGCAATTCGAGCAGAAACCCGATTCGCCGGAGCAGCAAAAGCCGCACGGAGTAAAGAGGAGGTTTTCGGACGTTGAGGGAGGTCAGGTAAAGCGCGACCTGTGCAAATACATAACATGCACATTAGATTGAAATGTGCGATAGAAATTGTATGGCATTCTTACAAATCTCCTTTAAAATTTGTCCACAGGAACCATCACCGCCGCCACCACCGTACCAATGTGCTCCGTTACCTGCGCAACGGCACGGCACAGGGTAAGTCGAAGGAAGAGAGAATATAATTGTTTTTAGAGATTATTTATAGAGATGCTGTAATGTACAAATTAATGTCACCGATAAAGTTACATTATATACTCCTCGTGTACAAAATATAAACAATTGCATGTACCTATGTGCATATACATATACTGCTTATGTATAATAGAGGAGTATATAAATTAACGTAACTTTTAACTAATTTTATATACATATCTAGTTATACCTTGGTAGACTGTGACGCAAAGAACTTGTGTGCTTAAAGTTGGTCTACCAAGTGTGTAAAATTCTAAATAAATACTACTAAAAAGGCTGATTTTCAGAATCGTAGGATACTGTAGCATAGACGTGCACAATGAATTTATTAATCGAAGATTAGAAAGAATTTTATCTATATGAAGAGAGAAATTGATAAAGAAACAACTGCTTCAGATCGCTTATGCTTCACTTGTAGCAAGTGCAAATTTTGTAAATTATTGTAGAATTACATGAAGAAAATGTAAGTTGTCATTACTGTCGTTTTCTTACAGAAACCTGCCTTTGCATTATAAGGTGTTGCACAATAATGTCAAAAGTGCAGGAAATAAAAATTTAAGTATCCCATGAGATTTTTGTAATAGATATTTTTTATTCACAGATATATCATTGCTATTCTCCAAAATCTAATATGTTAACAACTATACGGACAAGCATTATCAGCTGTAAGATCCAGATATATCCATGTTGAGATATGAATGATTTTTGAGCTTGTGAACTCAGCTATCAAAAATAATTTAATTTGATCGAAAATTTCAACTTTGCGTTATGTAGGAGCGTTCAATAATTTTGAAGTTATGGGTATATCTCGCTCTTTCACACACTGAATTGATTATTTCATTATTCCTTTTCTTGAATCTTGCATGGTTGTATACGTTTTTAACGATACCAAGCAACTTTATTATCTTTGCAAAGTATATAGTGCAAAGATAATAATATACTTGCATTTTCCTCATGTTATACATAATTCTATATTAGAATCATTAAATACAGCTTTTGCCAGAATCACCAATTATGTGTTCCTTTAGTATAAGTAATGAGCCAAAAGAGACGGAATCTGCGATGATACAGTTGCTACTTTGCAGAATACAAGTTAAAGTAATCATACACAGATTATTTGAACGTATATTCTAATGTTCTGCAACATTACAATTACGTTCTCAAGAACATTCTAAGTGTAAGTTCCGACATCATTAACTGTGATCTGGTAAAACCAGGTATTTTCCATATTTCAGAAGTATCCGAGGGTGTGCATCAGGTGATTTTTGTCTTAATGCTTGAAACGTTTCTGTACAATCGTTATTTTGGAATTAATAATTCGCACCTGCATTGTTTAAGCAGAGAAGGTGATCGACAACAGCAAGTCTTACATGGTCTTACACCATCACCCACACCAGCCGGTCTGCCACATGGAGATCGAAACAAGATGCTAATGCCACCTCCACATCCAGGTCTGTAACTAAGAGTATTTAGTCTGAAAAATTGCTGGATATCCTTTGAAAATTGAAAATGCGATATAGAATATTATAGACTTGCCAGTAAAAAGATTGTATTCTTGAAGGTCGTTCATCTTTAATTACTTAATCGAAACTTTGGATTCCTTCTTTGATACAACTTTGTTATTGGCAATTGTATCCTTTTAGTCTGATCAATGTGGATGTGCACTCAATGTGGATATAATTTGAGTACCAAAAGTAATTAAATTTACAAAATAAAATATGTTTCGGGGATAGATATCTAGCATTGTTTTCTTAATACTCTTAGACCGTAGTATATTATTAATGTACATAATATTTTGCGGTAAGCATATCGTATAAAAACTTTCCTTGATCTTTTTTAATTTACGTCTTAGCGAATTGCTTTCTTATGCATTTGTTGAGGATACCTGCGGAGACGGACGTCCGGAAATAACATGGATTATTGCAATCTCACACTATGTATAGAATGCTTTTGACATATAGTTATCTTTAAATTTATTTTTTTTATTTTAGATTAGACAAAAAAGCACTGCACGTGTTACACAGTTGCGAAGATGTATCTCAAGTATATTAATTTCAATGCTTTTTTATAGTGCCCTTTTTATTAAATAAATCTGCATTTTCAGACGCAAGTGTAACCTGTGATTTTCTACTTCAGTGTTTGTTTATCCAGTATTAACAATACTTAATATTATTAGGATTATGTTAAGGCATATTATACATATATATTTTTGATATTACTATTTTAAGTTCAACGCCTCGGACTTTTATATTTCTTAGGTTAAACGTGTCTGCGCCACAGCTTACTACCAAGGAGGGAGATATATAGATGACTACTACCCTTAAATAGTTACATATATGTAATGTTATATATTATGTAACATTAACACGGGATAACACATTTGTATATCATATAGTGAAACCGTCTTTATTGTTACAGTGTTCTAAGCGGTTATCCGTAATGGAAAAAGTGGAAGAAGTTTGAAGAATATATAGCTTTAATGATTAAATTTACCTTACGTCCAAATAGCAAATAACTCCGTATGACTTGAAATTTTTAGCGTAGTTGATAAGCGGTAACCATCTAATACACATACGAATATACGAAATTGCATTGCTTGCTTTCAGACTCAAATAGCGATTGCCAAATCGCCCTGCTGATTTGGCAATGGTTAATGGCGTGAAATATTGTCCTAACATTTACTTTAGTCTTATATAAGATTATATAAGATTAGACTCGCATTTAGAAAACTAAATTTCTGTTTATCGCCACAGTGACACGTCTCAAGCGGAAGATGAAAACTGGCAGCAGTCTTCTCATAATACAGATACAATCTTAGCGATTGTCTCTTAATTAGATTTGTATTTAAATTCAGAAAAAAAAATTAATTCCACATTTTTCTTTCGCGAATGATGTACCATTCAATAGATATTGGAATTCGTCAAGATTAATTACGCGTGTACGCGCGTTTCGTTGGACATAGCGAGATTTTTTAAGTTTATACTACAATATTTCATCGCATAATTTGCCATGTTAAATACAATATTATGTTAATGTATAGTTACTCTTAAGAGCATATTGCATTTTTCCCTTCTTATCATGCGTCTTAATCGTTTAGGTGAGAAACGGAACTTGGACCAGAAGCCCGCAGGACTATCTTCAGGTACGTACGATATATGCCGTTGTACTTAAATACGAGAGATTTTATACATTTGCCATGCAAATTTAGATTATACGATCGTATTTTGTAAATAGGAAATGATCAAAACGTAATTGCGGAATCTGGAAATATTCATGTCGGCAACGGTCCACCTCTACCGCCTCCACTTTCGCCTCAGGCGCCGTGGCAGAATCATCACGTGAGGGTTCCTTGGGGTAGACCACCGCCGATTCCAAGGGAAGGGGAACCCCCCTCCGTTTGTCCTGGATTACCTCCTATTAACATGCCTCCACCTCAGATTAGGCCACGAGGTAGGCGTTTTATTTGTTTCATCTACTATTTCACCCTTTTCTCGGTACAAGTAAAATAAAAGTTACAGATAAAAACCTTTTTTACGCACTATATGTGACGATTTAAAAACCTTCAAGGACGTGGTGGTGGTGGTGCTGTCTTTAGGTCCCGCTGACGGTAACCGCTCCCCCACTCAGAATGCTGTGTTAGAGCAGCCGTTGAACATCGAGTACAATCAAATGCCGCCCTACACGACGAAACCGCCACCTTACAATGCACATCCATTGATGCAGTCAATCTGCAATCCGCCGCCACCGCCGCCGCCGCATCACCAACAACCGCGGCCGCAGCATCCTCCGCAAACGGTGCAGCACTACCAGGTGCCAATCTCTCAGACATATCAGCCACCGACGTCCTGTCCGCCGTGGATGAACTGAAAGTAGTAAAACCACACGGGCGGCGTTTCTCGTTCTGTTTATTGTATCTTGACGATTTGACGAAAGTGACGCTATTTCAATTGGTGACATGATAACAGAGCGACGATAACGGCAAGGATCTGATTGCAAATGAATAGTTGGAACTGCATTGTGTTATTTGCACTCAATTGTGTGTTCCTTAGAACAGTTCTTATAATTTAATGATCTATCTCGAGGAGGGAGAATACTGAACAGTGTGTAAAAATTTGTAAAAATGTTAAAGATTATTTATACTGTATAATTTTAATTGTGTACACTAAGAGAGCTAATGAGCGAATGACAAAGAAAGGATAAAGGGAGGCATGGGGAGAGAGAGTGTGTACGTGTGTGTGTGTGTGTGTATGCGCTAGTGAGAGAAAAAGAGAGAATGTGAATAACGCCGTGTTGGCGCGATAGTTACTTATTAATTGTAGAGCTTATTTTGAGGAAATGTGTTTGTAAAGCATATATTCCTGGAAGGCAGAATAATAGTGTTATTATTTCGATTAAACAGTTCTACCATCGCACGCTCGAGGATCACTCGTCTCGCATACTCTCATGCGAGTGATAAAATCCATGTTGCATATTTCCTCTCGATGAAACTGTACCATCTCTCCATTTACTTCTCGGTAGATACGTAACATGTATAACAATGTATGCAGTTTTTTATGCAAAGCCAATAATAAATCGTTATTGCCAATTGAGTAGCTGCCTTCGTGTCGACGGCCCTTGCGTGTCGTCGCGTTCCCGCCGCGCGGGACGGATTGCCGTTTTCCGCGTCGACGCGATTTGGCAAACAGTGCGGTAAAACCGCACCGTTTCCATTTGCAGCGAGCAATCGTCGCAATTAGCTCCGTTAAACGCTGCCAGGTTGACGGGAGGCGGGGTAACAGCAGCGGCGATCAAATCCTGACCAAGGTGTCCGTGTTCCACCAGGCAGGCGAGGGGGAGAACGGGTGGCGGGGGGGGGGGGAGGGAAACGAAATTCCGCTCGATACAAATTCGATAAAGCCGCCGGCGGCGGCCCGCAGGACTCGCTCGTTATCCGGATCCGACGCTCTGTTAGCCGCTACGTTAGAAAACTTGCAGCCTTCGTCGCGACCGCGTACCCGATACTTCGGGGAAGTTTAATTCGCCGGATAACGGGGCGCCGGCTGTATCGTCGCGGTGAATTATTCCCCCCCCCCCTGGAGGGAATTTTTGCCGCGTATCCACGCGGCCCGAAGCGTCGCTATTAATCTCCGGGCAGCTTGATGCTCCCTTCGAAATTCACGAGAAATGGGAGAGGCGGCTTCGATATTGATTTCGACGCGCGTATTCTATTGGGTGCATTTTTTTTTAAATACATAACTCTTGAAGAATATTTTAGGATACAAATCTTGAAGCATTCGTCAAGTATGGGACACGGCGTATCCGAAGAAACCATCTGTAAACGTTCACGAGAAACAGTAAGGAGGGACGGCTTCGCTATTACAATAATCTTGACGCGCTTGAATGCAATGTAAAAAGCACATAATTCCTGAATACGTTAATCATTTTAAGATAAAAATCTTAAATAATTTTTTTAAGTATGAAATAAGTTGGCGAATATATTCGTATTCGACAGTTTTTCTCTCGATATCGACGTCTCTGCCGTGAACATCGCCGCGGATCGCCAAGGGGTGAGGCTAACGCGGACGGCCGTGTGCCACGCGCGCGTACGTACGAATTGACAAATAACACGCGTCGATCGTGACATCGATCCGGTAACCTTCCTCCACGCGGGAAATATTTTGTGCCTCGTTGGAAACGGGCGGCGAAGGCTCACGGCGCGTCTCGACCATTCCGAATTTCCAGAACCGATCATCGCAATCGGGGGGTGCCGTCGCCTGAAACCGGTCGCCACATCACAGGGATGCTCGCGGCGACAATAATCGCTTTTCGGTAATGTCGCTTTGTCCGTCGTCGTCTCATCAGCTTGTCGCGGCGGCGATCGCTTTTCGACGTGCCCGCCGCAAATTTCCGAAGGACTTCGGCCTCGAGAGCGTCGCCGAGCGCGCGCCCGGAAACAACACCAAGGTCTACAGTCCGGGTCTCCGCCCACGTGAAAAAGTCATCCCTTTGTTTTTATACATAGAGAACCATGATTGTACAATGAGAAAATTAATGACGGACTCTCGTGCGTTGTCGGTTTTAAGATTCCCGCGATAATTCTCTCGCGCTCGAGAGAATTGTAGACCAGAGCGAGCTCCCACCGATTTCGCGTCATGATTCACGCCGTATCGAGGGCGATTTATTAACGCGCTTCTGACGGACGCGCATTTCGCAGACGCAGGAAACCGCGACGAGCCGCGAAGGGCCCATCAATCAAGCGAGATCGAGCTCCACGCTGGTGAGGCGCGCGTGCAACTCGAGATCCGATCACATGTGTCCGGCGAGCGTGCGGAGTCGCGGCTACGAGCGTTTCCGCGGCAAGGAGACCTCGGTCGGCTGCAGCTGCCGCCGGACGGGAAACGTCGGCGAGGACATTTCGGGGCTGCGGGACGAGTACAGCGGCGGAGATGCGGTCGATACCGTGCCGAGCAGAGAGTGCGGCGAGCCCGTGCCGTCCGGCGCCGATCGTAAAAACGGATTTGCGAAGCCGCCCGACCGGGACAGGTTCCGGTTCGCTACATGGTTTCTTCCTATGGTCTTTTTGAGACGCTCCCGGCAAATGCATTAGCGATTGCACCCGCGTTATCATGTTAGCATTGTGATAAGATGTGGCTTGCTTAAAAATGATCGCTACTCTCTTGACGACAATCGGTGGACCATCTCTGAAAAACAGCGAACAGTCACCGACTGACTTTACAAGCCTGTGTCCACATCGACGCTGGAACTTGGTCCAAGTTCTACTTCCGAGAAATGTGTAGTCAATCGACTTGCAGCTTTTATGAAATAGCTGCAAGTTGATTGGCTACACATTTCTGGAAGCTACAACTTGGACCAAGTTTCAGCATCGTGGGTGCAGGCCTTAAGAGAGTACCGAACCTTGTAACGGGCCTTAAGTGTTTCGTCTTCTAGGATCACTCAAAGAGACAGACCGCTGTGATTAACATATTCCGTGCCGCGTGGATCGGGCAGGTCGTTCGACATTTTGGCTGTAAAGCGAAACCTTCAATTTGATGGACTAATAGGGGGAAGGGTACGTTAATGCCAAAAGTTCGTTGAATTGAATGTGACTTAGGGGAGCCGGTTTTTACCATTTTTTAATTTTTGTTGGTGAAAAAAGAAGCTTCAACGCTTTATAAAAATTATTAAATTTTTTCACCCTTTCGTCAGTTCAAGAATATTTTACTAATTTTTCAATTAGCTTTAATTTCTGTGCCGTATTCAAGCCGCGGGCTTTCTTTTACTCCTCCACCAGGTTTTTAATTTTTTCAATTTCCAATTTTTGTAAAATTATTAATGTGTTATCATCTGTCCTGTCTGTTAAAGCCGAGATCCATTATACCGGAGTTCGTTCAATCGAGGCTTTGCCGCAACCAACACCTTCCGAAATGATAGTTATCAGTAATATTTTAGTACCGCGAGTCATCGATCCACGTGGCACGGATGACAAGTTGATGAAAATGGCGTGCATCACGGAAACGCGCTGAAAGCGTCTCCCGTAAAGTCATTTCCCTTTCGCGAGTGCAGGTACGACGTGGCGTCTGCCGACGACGTCGACGCTGCCGATAGAACGGCAGAGCGGATCCCGCAATCCGCGCACCCAATATCCCATCGTCGCAGCAAAACGCGATGCCCGTGCTCCAACGTGGATCCCGTAAATAATCCTCCGCGCGCCTCCGCGTCCCACGAGAGGCACGACAAGGTCGCGTGCGGCGACTTCACGGGGCACGGGGGCAAGGAGTTCGCGTCGACGAGTTGTCACGGAACGTCCATCGATCTTGACGACGGCGCGGCGGAGGAGGGCGTCGTTACTAACGACGCTCGGGGCCGCGGTCCGGGTGTCAGAGACGCGTGGACGAGAGCGAGTACCCCGACGACCCGTCGCAGAATCGCAGACGCGACCTGGCGATGCGAGTGTCGTCCGCGCGAAGACTCCATTCCGAATCTGTCGAGGCCGTCGTGCCGCCATCGCCACGACTACCGTTGCGATCACTGCCATCGGCACTGCTGCTGTCAGCAACGCGGCAGCTCGTGCATAAATGCCAAAGGGTTAATAAGAGGTCTTTCTATTACGCTAGGAAAAAATCTCCATCGAGCGTCGATTGTTTTTCGCAGTAAATGTATTTCCGACAAATTTTACATAAAATATCGTTATCTCAGGAGAGAGCAATCGGATGAATATAGAGGGGGGGGGGGCTGATGAGATACGTGACCGAGAGAAGGGTGAAAACGCCCCGCGGCTGCACAATCTCTGTTTAATTCACTCTCTTCGCATCATTCATATTGCAGATGCGAGGCGCGCGGGAGCGACGTCTCCGGCGAGAAAGCTCGACACAAAAGCTGGCGCGATCAGATGCGAGGCGAGAATAGTCGATTGTACGCGCGGCAGTGTTACTCGAAGGAGTATTCTGGAATAATGCCCGCCTCTCGTGAGCGGAACGACGAGGAATGTAGGGAGAAGAACGACGACGGCGATGACGGCGAGGACGAGGACGACGACAGCGGCGTGGCTGTTATCAATCACAAGGACTCTATGTGCATCCTCGCTGAAAAATATAAAGCCGGCGGCAAGTGGCGCGGGGACAGGGACGAGTGTAACAAATCGTTGACTTCGGAAATCATCGATCAGCCGGAGTCGCCGGCCGAGATCGCAAGCGCGGCTCCGCACGAGGGGCCGAGCGCGAAGCACGTTCGCCGTGCCGCGCGTTGCGAGAGCTGCGGAACCGCGGCGATCACGGGGACGCGCGCTCGTGGATGCGGCCGACACGCGTCGCCGGAGGGTGAATTCGACCGATTCGAGTCCCCTTCGAGCGAGGCAACTGCCGTCCGCCGCTGCTCAAGTCGCGCGCCTTGCAGACGTGCCTTCTAATTCAATTTCGTTCCGTAAACACGTTCGCGGACTTTTTACGCCAATTTTCTGTTTTCTAGTTATTTTCAACGTTTATCGCGTGCGCGCCAGCCATTGGAATAAAAAAAAAGCAATTTATAATTTATTTGAAACTGTGTGCTTCTTCATCTACATTTTTATCGTGGCGGTGGTGTACAACGTGTACAACGATGTGCATGAAAAATTTAAACGAAATCCTCGCACTTTTGCACCTTTCTCCGTTCCGCCGCATTGCATTTTTTTTCTCGCGAGATACTTACTTGCCCGCCGTATTAACGCAGCGAAATAATGTAGCAGAGCATTAAAACGCTAAACGTTGAGAATAAAAATTATGCAAATCAAATTTCGGATGAGCTCACGCAACGGTTTAGCTTGTATTGCTCGAATTAAATTAACGTTATATAGGCGGGACAATTAACTTTTAACTCGTTTTACTTGTAATACGCACGCCAGAGAACCAGTTTCCGTCCGAGGGAATTTTAAGCTCGCTATATGGAAGCGCGGCACGTTAACGAAATTATCGAACGTAAGCATGTACATTAAAATCCGCGGTATCTCAGGCATTCGGTAGCCTCTGGAGGCTGCTTTTCGCTTGTTGGACTCTTTGTCTCGATTCTTTTCTCGCGCCGTTCATTCGCAGCTTCCATGTTAATTGGCTCATCCCGCCGGTCTCTGGAAAGGATTCCGCAGCATTGCGACGCTTTTCCCTTCTCCTCCCGGAAAGTTCGGCTCTCTCCCTCTCTCTCCCTCTCTCCCTGTCTCTCCCCGTCTCTCCCCGTCTCTCTCCGGTTCTCCATGTCTCTCCTCGTCTCTCCTCGTCTTTCCCCGTCTTTCCGTGTCTCTCCCCGTCTCTCCCCGTTTCTTCATGTCCCTCTGTCTCTCCCTGTCTCTCCCCGTGTCTCTCCGTGTCTCTCCCCGTTTCTCCATGTCGCTCCCGGTCTCCCTTTGTCTCTCCGTGTCTCTTCCTGTCTCTCCCCGTTTCTCCGTGTCTCTCCGTGTCTCTCCATGTCTCTCCCTGTCTTTCCCCGTTTCTTCATGTCTCTCCCTGTCTCTCCCGGTCTCTCCTTGTCTCTCCCTGTCTCTCCCTATCTTTCCCCGTCTTTCCGTGTCTTTGCCACCCCCCTCTCTCTCTCTCTCTCTCTTCGATGCTAGTCTTGCACGTACGCGTCTGTTTTTTCGTCACGTTCCGGGTCCACTTCGATCTCCCGACCTTCTTGCCAATCTTGCGCCACGCCGATCGAGTACACGCCGTTATCTAGCAGTTTCTCAAACGATTCGTCGAGCTTTTCTACGCGAACGAGTTCCTCTTCGTATTCTGCTTGCATATTCAGATAAATATATTTTAGTATTTTTAAAATTTTACAACATAGTCTTAATCTTTTCTTATGTTATCTCTCCCTCTCTCCCTTTCTCTCTTTCTCTGACATTTTACTTAAAGTACGCATTATTTTGCAAAACAAAAATCACCATCTTCCTCCGCCAAGCGAGCACGCATCAATCGATCTTTAAATACGCGTTCAAGTTCCTCGCCAGCTTCCACCGGGTCCTCTCGATTACCGAATTCCGTGGGAATGTCCGCGCGAGCCATGACTTCGTCAAACACCTTTTGTTGCAAATTCTTGACAATAGCTTTCGCCACCGACGATTTCGTCGATTCTACCGGCGGGCTTGAGTCACTGTTTTTCTGGCGATACCGTCTGTAAGCTTTCTACGACAGTCGTGACAATTAATAATGGTTTCTCTTTAATTTTCTGCATAAATTTAACAAAATATGATATATAATATTTTTTTACATATAATATGATTCAGTATTTGATTTATTCACTTGTATAATGGACGCAGCTTCGTTTGCTCTCATCGGTGTCAGACCTGATTCCTCGTACATCATATCCAGCCAGGCTACTGCTTGAACGGCTTCTCCGGGTTCTATCATGTCCACCTCGCTTTCTTTTTCTTCCTCTGGTGGCTGCATAGCCTCTGCGGGAGGTCATGAACACGATTTTAAATAACGAGAGAAACAGGACCGATATGAATCATACAATTAATTAGAGAAGTTGCCTTTCGCTTAGACTGGATCTCGGCAGATTAATAATAATAATATGTCTGTGTGAATTTTGTTTGCATACATTTTCCATCTTGGTAAACTGCGCGCTGATTATCTGTCGGTTTTAAAAGACAGCATCTTGTTGCAACGGCAAATACTATTTACTTAAATCGACAATCAGTAAAAAGTTTATCGCGAAAAATATCATGAATGCCGTTGAAGCGCGTCCAAGGTGCATCCGTGAGTGACCTTACTCATTTTCATTTTTAGATTTCTTCTCGTATAGTAGCCGCGGTAAGTGGCCTGTATTAGAATTGCGGCTTTCGACGCCTCCGCTCGCGAGGCCCCAGCCTTCCTCAGGATCTCGAGGGTCCTCGTTGCCGCTCGTTGCCATTGAATCATGCCTCGGGACTCGTTGAACAGCATCCTCTCGTAATGCCCGCGGAAAGCGGCCTGATTAATAACGCCGAAAATGACTGGAAGAGCCGTAGGGCCGCGATAAAGATTCGTGACAGAGGATCTCGTCGTTAATTAGCGCATACCTGTATTATCGTCGCGTGCTTCTCCGCCTCCTCCAGCGGGACCCCCGTCGCCTGCAGAATACTTTGCAGAGATACCTTGGACCTCGCGTCGCAAGTCGCGTCTGCGGTCGAAAGGGGAGGAATTACTCTCGCATACTTTTTGCCCGCCGCGCTTTATAGAAACTCGCTGGGCGCGGCCGGGCGCAAAATTGTTTTTCAACATAATTCACCGTGTAATTACCGTCGCACACCTGGGCCGCTCGCATGTCTACCGCGTCCAAGTACGCGCGGAACGCCGTCTGCGAGCGCACAAAAAGGCGGAAAAGAATCCCTGAAATATTATTTAACTGCCGGATCCTTATCCGGCACGCGACAGTAAATTTCTATACCTGGATCCTGGGCGCGGCGCAGGCGATCTGCTCTAAACTCAAGCCGCTCCGGTGAAGTATACCCACGATGGCCTGGCTCTCCAATAAAATATTGTTTACGACTTTCACCGCGACTGGAATTGCACAATTGCACGACTGTACGGGATGCACGCGATTACGGCCCGATTTACTATTGTCGCGAGCGTTTTCACCGCACGCGGATGATATATACGCGCGGTCATTCTCCGCAACCTTTGAATTTACATAATGATACGTGGGACGCACCGGTGCGCGTGCATGTAAACATCAGTAATTAATTAGCTTAACGTTCCAATTAGCGTCTGTTTGCGGATGAATAATATCAAGACATATCCGATGTTATGAAATTGTTGTATGCAGACGGCGCCGGTACCTTTCGCATTTTCCCGCGTGATCAAAAGCGCTTCAGCGTAATCAGCAACGAAGCAATAAATGTTCCTCGGTTGCGAGCGTAGAACCTTTACGGATCAGATAATAATTTAATCGTCCTTTGACGTGACGGCGGTAAGTCAAATAACGATTTCATAGAGCGAACCTCGCGTGCGATGTCGGTGCATAGTTCGCGCAATCCTTCCGGGACCTTGTATATGTGTTTAGCTCCATGTTTCTCGAGTAAAACGTTCATTTTCGTGATTATTGCTTCAGCCGAGTTGCTTGAATTTATCGACTCTTGCTCTTATCGCGGGTAACACGATGCGCGAAAGTTGCCAACTTTCGGTGGTAACGAGCGCATTGATGAAACTGTATATCGAAGTTACATAGCGGAGCAAGTGGATCAGGCCACGCGGTGTTGTAATCTCCGGATACAGTCACGTCGGGATGAAATCATGGAAAGTATACACGAAGGAACTGCAATCTCAATTAGGATCGTTTTTATCGGCGTAAAATCGCGTGGAAAAAAAAGTAGCTGCCGTAGGAAAATTAATTTTAGTTGTAAAATATGGACAGCTAATATTTTGTTGCGATAGCTAATATTTTGCTACGGTGTCTATTGTATTAGGTGCGACAGCAAACCGTTTACTGTGCTTTAGAAATTTATAGCTATGGCAGCAAAATTTTTTCAGTCCACGCGCGAGTCCGCGACCCCGTACCTACAGAAAAAATTTCCGGGTCCAATGTTATTACATTTCAAATGTATCATTCCAAATGTTGTTTCTGCGAATGCATGACCGATCATCCTTCATCATCCTCGAGACCCTACCCTGCCACTTTGTGCGGTTAGCGAAATCATCTCTACGTTATCGTGGGGTATTCCAAGTGTCGACTGGACCTCACGCGTGACTCACGGTCAGTTCCTCGCCGACTATGAGCGGCGAAAGCCATGCCAGTTACAAACGCACGCGTTGCATTCTCGGTGGCTCTGTCGTTGCTCGCCTTACTACCGTCGCGTGAGTAACTTACATAATGTTTCGATCCGTATTCCTACGCTGTTGTTTCCGGCGCCGTCTTCTCGCTCCGCGGAGTTCCACGTGCGAAGAACGGCCGCGAAAGTTCGCCACTTCGCGCAGCGATGCGATCTAATCGCGAGATTCAGCGCCGCGTTCTCGTCCGATGCGGTTTTCCGTGTTCGATCGAACAACCGGGCGGGTCGTCGGGCAAATTGCGAAATTAATCTGGCGTGGATGAAAGTGACACGCGCGTAAAATCCGATACGTAATCATTGTAAATACGGTGTGCAACGTGCGACGGGAATAGTCTCGATATTAACGTGCACGTAGCGATATTTCTGGAACAGGTTTTCTATACTTGAAACTAGAATGAAAATGTGACAGAAGTCGAGCGTAATTCCTGCTTACTGGAGGATGATTGAATATTCATGAAGTGACGCGCGGCCACGAATCCCCTCGCAAGCTTACATTGACCGGTTTTTGCAGCGTTCAAAGATCGAAGCAGTCGCGCGCTATACGTGAGAATCCTTGAAAGTGATCTATATAGAATTTATTTCTGTCTCCACGCGTTTATTTCTCTCTGTGACATAATTAGCTTATCGGCTTTTTCCACTAAACTGTTGACTCCTCTTTAGCTAGACTCCTCTTTGGATTGACTAAATTTCAACGTGGAATTAATAATGTTTCTCGTATAAATAGAGAACATTTTTTTAAGAATTAGTGAAAACGCAGAAATTATGCACTTTTAGTGTCTCTACAGGATCGCTCGAGGACTTCGGACGGTTTTCCCGGTCAATATGAGACAATCGTCAGTGACCCACCAGGCCGCTCCAAGTGGAACGAGAACAATGATTTTTCCGGACCATCGATTAATAATAAATGGGAGGATGGTGGCAGAGGGCCGGCAGGTGGTAGCGGTACTTCCAGATTAACGGGTGGCAGTTCTTCAGGATTAAACGATAACCGTCCGCCGAGCTGGAACAAAGTGGGCACGGAAAGTTCATCCGACAACTATCCACGTAACTATCCAAATAACGATGGAACCACCCGAAGATCTTCGGAATCAAGGACCACTCAAAGATCTCCCGATTACCCAAAGACCATCCAAAGACAGCCCGATTACTCAAGGACCACTCAAAGGTCTCTCGATTATCCAAACACCCAAAGACAGTCCGACTACTCAAGGACCACTCAAAGGTCTCTCGATTATCCAAACACCCAAAGACAGTCCGACTACTCAAGGACCACTCAAAGATCTCTCGATCACCCAAACACCCAAAGACAGTCCGATTATTCAAGGACCACTCAAAGGTCTCTCGATCACCCAAACACCCAAAGACAGTCCGATTACTCAAGGACCACTCAAAGGTCTCTCGATCACCCAAACTCCTCCCAAAGACAGCCCGATTACTCAAGGACCACCCAAAGACATTCCGATTACGACAGAGAGGGTCCAGACGATCGCGTATCCGACGATCGAGATGAATATCCACAGGGTCGACAGTGCAGGTACATTTGATCGTCTCTTACAATTAGTTAAACACATAGAATTTTATCAACGTAATGCATGACGGAGATGGTACTTATTTTGCATTCGTGTTTGCCTTTTTGTTAGTTTAGAAATATTGAGAAGAGAATTTCATAAATTTTTAGGAACGATGAGTTTCGTTGCGGAAGTAACGAGTGCCTGCCGCGAAGCGTCAAATGCGATAATAGAATTGATTGTCGCGACAGCAGCGATGAAGAATTATGTGTTACGTAAGCTAAATATTTTTTAACACGTCTTTTTCCGTTCGACTGCATCACTTAGCACAATATGAATGAATACGATAAT